GACTCAGAGAGGTTATTTTATGTGTCATAACTTTGTTGTTAGGTTTTAGGCTCTGAATCTACTTGGTTAGGTTTGGAAAAAAATACACCACAGACTCACCCTCATGGGATTCTGAGCGTAGCATCAGAACTTCTTTTAACTTTTTGTTTCACACGGGACACCAAAGCAGGTCCCACGCGGGAAATTCCTGCGTTTGTTTGACCCAGCCCTAATACTCCCACCCTCAGCTCACTTAACACTACGAGTGTAGCTCTGAGCGGCTAATAATGACGTGGATGTGTTTAAATTGGATTAATTAAAAACCCAGAGGCCAACGCCCACTGCCCGAGGCTCGGTATTTGAAGCCCTGGGAGTGAGACTAAGATACATTAATATTTGGTATGCTTATTAACTTATTGAGAGTTAGATGACAGGATTTATACCACTTTTCTTCTCTTAAAGGTGGGGTAGGTAAGTTTGAGAAACCGGCTCGAGATACACTTTTTGTTATATTCCATGGAATGCTCTTAACATCCCGATAGCAATGAATATCTTAAGTGCTTTGACAAAAAATCCATAAAAAAATGTCATCTGTGGAAGCCATAGTACTGTAAAAAGCACGACCAATCATTTTAGCCGGCCCGGCTAAAATAACTGGATGGCCTACCTGCCTGTCAGCCTTCCATCTGTGCACAAACTTATCTCGTGCCCTCATTGGTCATGTGCGCGTTCGTGTGTGTTGGAGGAGGGGCTCTGTAAGGAAGTGGCAGATTTTCTCCGGTTGTGTATTTTCAAATTCTAGCGATCTCGAGCCGGTTTCTCAAACTTACCTACCCCACCTTTAATAGCTTAGCATACAGGCTGGAACGAAGGGGTAACAGCTAGCATGGCTCTGTTTAAAGGTACCTACCAGCAGATTTAAGGCTCACTAATATGTTGTTACATTTTGTTTGATTATTCCTAACATCAGAACCGTCAAGCAATATCCTCGCACTTAACCTCAGCAAAATGTCAAACTGCTGATTTTACTTATTGTCTTTTAAACTACTGATTAAATAAACAAGAGAAACAGTATCAATAGGAGAGCTAAGTGAGATACGTTTAGAGCTTTCTGGCAGGCTTCTTCAATCACATTAACCTGGCTGTTTTTAAACACCGCCAGGAAGGCAATAGGAATATCATTCCTTTAAGTCTGAACAGTATTCATAGACATTTTGCATTTGATATGGTTTGTTACTTTGGTGTTCGAACTGTGGTGAAGTGTTGAAACAATACAACACAATTTCAGTTTGTTGGGGTAAAACTTTAGCTCATTTAGACAGTTGCACTTTAGGGAGATGTGATTTATCCTCCTTTTAATGACATAAGTAGATATCTGTGTATACTGTGTTGAAAATAATTAGTATCTCTCTATTGTTTTTGTCTAGTCTACACTTAGTTTCGCCAAGGTCGGGTCGGGTGTATCTATTGTTTATTCTCCTCTCAACACAAAGCTTCTATTTTACCTCATTCTCTTCCTCCCTGAGCCAATAAGACTCTTTGTCTTCGTGGGCAGCATGTCTGCAGTTTGCATGTCTCTATACAATGTCTGAACTCATCTCATGTCACTTTGGATATACAGTATGTGATGTCAGACAGCAGTGATACAGAGACACACTGCCTGTCTTTGTACAGGTGGCATTGTGTATTGTTGTTCAATGTGAATTACAGCATCTTTTAAGGGGACTTTTCTTCTACATTGGTCAATTAGTGGTTTATTATACAACCGTTTAAATCATTATAGGGTGTCAATTTCTTTTTTTTTACACCCTATAATGAGGTTAAAAGGTCATTTTATAAAGAAACTGCTCAGCCCTATAGGTCCTAGCAATAAATACAAATTCTATAATCAGGTTTAAAAAAAAAAAAAAAAAAGGTAACTGTATACCCTTACAGTTGAATAAAAGAAAAATATGTAATCAGAGTGCTTAAAAAAAGGGGATTCTTTTCAGGATCACAGTGTCAACAATAAATATATTTTAAAATACAAAATGATATATTACAAAGCATATGCTTACATATTACAACCATTTCTAAATGCAGTAGGTATGTTTTGTTGGACCAAATACATTGTTTGCTTTGAATTTTTGTATTGAACTAAAACAGGTTTCCTCCTTTCTAATCTTGCATTGTTCCGTTTTCTTACATAACACACTTAAAGGTAGGGTAGGTAAATTTGAGAAACCGGCTCGAGATACACTTTTTGTTATATTCCATGGAATGCTCTTAACATCCCGATAGCAATGAATATCTTAAGTGCTTTGACAAATAATCCATACAAAAATGTCATCTGTGGAAGCCGTAGTACTGTAAAAAGCACGACCAATCATTTTAGCCGGCCCGGCTAAAATAACTGGATGGCCTACCTGCCTGTCAGCCTTCCATCTGTGCACAGACTTATCTCGTGCCCTCATTGGTCATGTGCGCGTTCGTGTGTGTTGGAGGAGGGGCTCTGTAAGGAAGTGGCAGATTTTTTCCGGCTGTGTATTTTCAAATTCTAGCGCACTAGAGCTGGTTTCTCCAAAATTGCCTACCCCACCTTTAAGTAAACCAATTGTATTGATATTTCATGTAATTATTTACAAGATTATTGAGGTAATCCAGAAGTAACGTAAAGTAACATTACTTTTGTATTGTCATACTTAGATTAGGGTACTGAATACATGTTTCTCTGCAATTGTAACAGATTACTTTGTTTAAAATAACCATCCCAACCCTGCTTTACAGTACGCTGATGTAGTTTTCTGTTTGTTTCAGGGTGGGGTTAAACTGGGTGTTACAGAGTGTTCACCTCAGCTGAATCCTGATCCACCGTCCTGTTGTATATTTTCCTTTTCGTCTCAGTCTTCAGTGTGTGGACTCTCGGTCTCTCATCAGTCAGTCTCGCTCGAAGTCCTGTCCTGAATTATGTCAGCTGCAGCCCTTTTTTTTTTTAAAGAATGGGAGGGGTGCAGTGCTCATTTACTCAGAAATGTAATACCATTGGTGAGAGTACTTTTAAAGAGTGTGTGGTGTTTTTTCATGGCTGTTTTTCTTGCGTTTAGTATGTGGCTGTAAGGCATTTCCACAGTGGCCCCAGGCCTGTCTGTCTACCCATTATACAGCGGTCATGGATATCAGGGTGGAGAGTGCATTCCTCAGCAGGGCTGCAACTTATTATTCAGGATTTGTTCATCTAGTTATTAATGTTTTACTTTATCTGAAGTGTCAACGATGGTGAATCAATTACCCATTCTAGAGTTTTATTACCATTTTTGTTGTATTTTCAAGTAACTTTGAATAAAGGGATACATGAGCGATATCTGTTTGTCAAGTAAGATCTTCCTCACACATGGTGAATCTACTGGAGTCTTACTCCACCCTATATCTTATTCTGAAACACACCATTAAATAAGCGTAGTACAAATTAAGAGTTACAATGTATTCTCATGGCAAAATGTAAACTTTTAATTGAGCAATGTATTATCGATTTCTAAGATCTAAGGTTAAGGTCAGTTACAATGGTGAAAAGTTTGAGCCATTAAAAGGTTAACGAATACATTGTTTTTATTCTTTCAAGCTAACTTAGACAGAAGTGGCGAGTATATCCCTTTAGTCTATCAATTCAGGTCTTCTTAAACACACTTAAGACTTGCTCCACTGAAAATATTTTGAGTATGTCACACACACCATTTTAGACTAGAAAAAAAGGGGAAATACAAGTAAGAGGTTAAGGTCAGGAACAATGGATTCCAATGGAGAACACTTCTACAATTGTACAATCAAGTTAGGTCTAACTAATGCATACTATATCTACTCAAGTCTTACTGCACCCACAATTGTTCAGTTTGAAACACACGCCATTGTAGGGTTAAAAAAGTTTGTAAAAAGTTACAGTTCATAGTCTGTTACAAAGGACAACAAAGGTGAAACATTTTTGATCCTGGGGAAGTATCATACCATCTATATTAAACTTGAAAACTAGTAACATTCACATTTATCACTTCTCTAGTGTCCATCTACTACCTCAGTACGCTCAGAACAGTCTTTTTTACTTAAACCTTCCTTATTCCAGGAGGGGTTAAAGAGGAAGATCAAACATGAATAATGTATTCATCAGCACGAGCATAATACCTTTTAATAAAACCCTTTGAAGAGTCTTTTACTCATATTACACGTACTTGTACATCTACCAAATGCAGTGAGTGTGTGTGCGTCAGAGAGAAAGAGGAAGAGGGTGAGTGATTATTTCTGGGATGGATGTTTACGAACATCTCAAGGACATAACTTGTGCGCTCAGGAGCCTTGAGCAGCTATATTTGGTCTTATTATTTGCACACCGCCACATCAGTCAAAAGTGTGTGTGTGTGTGTGTGTGTGTGTGTGTGTGTGTGTGTGTGTGTGTGTGTGTGTGTGTGTGTGTGTGTGTGTGTGTGTGTGTGTGTGTGTGTGTGTGTGTGGGTGTGTGGGTGTGTGGGTGTGTGTGTGTGTGTGTGTGTGTTGCAGCAGCAATTTGTGTGACGTCTCGTAAGTGTGTGTACACTCTGGTGTCTGTTGAGTATGTGAGTGATGTGTAATTTTTACATATGCCCACAAGCCTGTGTATATAAATACTGTGTTGCTCTGTTTATTTTTGCAATTCCCTGTCGCGCATTTTCTACCCTGACATTTGAACGACTGAATGTTTCTTTCTCCTTGTGGGCTGTTTTCATCATTATGACTTTAGACCTTGAGGTGCACAGGCAGAGAAAACAATTTAGCTATCCTTGGAGAAACATTTTTACTTCCCCGAAAGAAGAAGTGATGTCATGTCTGAAAAGCTGCATAAAACAGGGCAAATACATTATACCAAAACAATTTCTCAACAGTTATGTCCACTAACTTTGATTAACCTCGCTCCCAGGCTGTATGCCAAGTTATCTAATTTCTCCAAAAGCACAAACACTCCAAATATAGTAAGGAATCTAACCCATCAATCATTCTCCTGCTCTGTTTTGCTCCAGCGGCACTGCCCTTCATCGTCATGACCATCATTTTCAAGCCGTACCAAAGAGGGATTTACTGCGATGACGAGAGCATCATGTACCCCCTGAAACCCGACACCATCACACACGGCATGCTGGCGGCAGTCACCATCTCCTGCACCGTCATCATCGTGAGTTAAACTCCATCATTTACTCTCTTCTCACAGGGAGCTGTATAACGTCTCACCTCAGTGCAGCCAAACTCAGGCGAGGTGAACAAGACTTCACTCATGTATGGCGCGACACTACTGGAAAAAACATTGTTGTTCATGCAATGGTTAATTATGCTTCCATAATATTTCTTCTTAATGACTAGGGAGAAATTATCCAAAATACACATTTAGCTGTTGATTTGACTTTGGCCACTTGCGTCTTTGGATTTCTTTTTAAGTCACCAAAAGTAAACATTGGAAATGCCTCATTTGTTTAAACACAACTTTTCAAAATATGTGTGATGCAAAACATAATTAACCTTATGTAAGTTTCATGGTGATATTAAATAGTTAAAAAATAAATCTCATATTCTGATCCAGAAATATCCACTTTCAGTATTTACGTACACCGTTTTATTCATTCCTATATTATTTTCTATAGGTCTTAACAGTGAGGGATAGTTCAGATTTAGTTCTGGAAATGATTTCATATTAGCACATGTTCAACAAGATCATGCCTCATTTGCAATTGCACCCAACCGTCCCCCCTTAATAAAAGTATGTGCTGTTTGCTCCATTACTAACCTGAGGAATTGGACAAAGCTCAGATGTATGAGGAGGAAAAGTCATTTCATTCTACTGATGCGTAAAATGAAATAAAAAACGTCTTCTCTGTTTTAACTTTTTGCCATTTCTTCCTCAGATTTCCTCCGGAGAAGCCTATCTGGTCTACAGCAAGAGGATTTACTCCAATTCTGACTTCAACCAGTACGTGGCGGCCCTTTACAAGGTGGTGGGCACCTTCCTGTTCGGAGGGTCTGTCAGCCAGTCGCTCACCGACCTCGCCAAATTCACCATCGGCCGCCCGAGACCCAACTTCATGTCCGTTTGTAATCCTAAAGTCTGCACCGGGTACATGCAGGTGATCAACTGCACCGGGGTCCATGAGGACGTCACAGAGTCCAGGTACGAGGAGGGACTCACAGTCTTATTTCTGTGTGTAGCTTAAAGGGGACCTATCATGCAAAATGCACTTTTGTACGTCTTTTATACATGAATATGTGTCCCCGGTGTTCCAGGGAACTCACCAAGTGTCAGAAAACACAACCCTCTCTATTTTCCTCCATACCCAAATCTCTAAAAAAGGGGCTGCAACGGATCTGATAAAAACTGATCCAGATTTGAACACTGTCCTGACGTCAGGACGGTGGCGCTACGGCTATTGGGCCAACTCCACCAATCAGGAGGAGACAGCCACGGCATTGCCGTTCGAAAGCGCTGGAGACGCTGTAGTACATATGCCAGGCCTCTAGATGGTGCTGTTGCTCACAGAATCAGCCCTTGCAAAAACAGAGCTAACATTTTTCAAATTGAGCGAAATGAGGCATGGCTAAAATGCATGATCTGTTTGGTATTTTGAAAAAAAAAAAGTATAAATATGCCTTATATAGGTATGGTCCTACACTATATTATTCAAATATAGCATGATAGGTCCACTTTAACATACGTTTAGCTACTGTACCTGCAGGATTCTGCTGTTTTGAGTTTGTATGTTTGGTTGCAATAACTCTCTTTGGATAAAAGTGTCAGCTAAATGAAATATAATGTATTTAAAGTAATATACATGCAATGGTGGAATGTAACTACATTCACTCATGTACTGTACTTACCTAAAATATTGAAGTTCTTATACTTCACTTATTTGTATTAAGTATACATTGTGCCACTTTAGACTTTTACTCTACTACATTTTGTAGGCAAATGTTGTACTTTTTACTCCACTACATGTTATTTACAACTTCAATTATGATTATTGATTTTTATTGCAAATCAACTTATAGATTATGCTGTGTTATTATAGGTTGAGCTACCCGGCAGTATATATATTAATACAAATAAACCCCCCAAAAGTTTGGCATGAACACGTTACTTCATCACTTTTTATAAAACAATACTTCAAAATATTTATTGAATTCTTATATTTTGATGTTAATGTTTGGAAAGTACTTTTACTTGAGTATAATTCTGAATACAGGACTTTTACTTGCAACAGAGTATTTTTACACTGTATTATTGCTATTTTTGTTAAATCAAATTACCTGAGTACTTCTTTCTCCTCGTATGAATTAGTAATTATCCTTAGAGAAAGAAATAAGTATGAATAGAAAAATAAACAACTGTAATTGACACTTTAATTATCTCATACTTAATAATATTTTAACAGATTTTGCACAATAATGATGCCAACAGTATTCTACAGTTTAAATATCCTGTGTGACACTTTAAATTTGCTTCTGTCTCTTCTCCAGATTGTCCTTCTACTCCGGTCACTCCTCTTTCGGGATGTACTGCATGTTGTTCTTAGCGGTAAGTACATCCTCGACCCATGACTAAAAGTCCTGAAACACAGTGTAAATACTCTTCTCTGTGTACTGTAAACATGGGAACATCTCCATGTGATCAGCATGCTGATATCTCGGTGTGAATCAGGCACAGTCGACCCCCAGATGGACTCATCTTACAACAGGCTTTTGAATTTGGATCTGCACTCGAGGGCTCATGTTGGAGAAAGAGAAAGAGCTCATAGAGACAGTTTGTGCCTGTGGACATAAAAGGACAAGGCAACCGTTGAGAGGAAGAATGAGGATACTGAGAGAAATAATCTGGAGGCCTCAGCTGACTTTCTTCCAGCCATGAAGAAGGCAGAGCATGTCCTGTGTTGTGTCTCATCCAGTTCATTACCCTTGGCCTTGTCTTTGTGTTAGAAGCCAGGCAGCAGTGCTAGACAGCAGGGCGTCAAGAGGCCAAGCGAAGCAAAACTGTTCAGTTCAAAGAGAAATCCAAAGAAAATCTCCAGCTAGTGTCAATGCCCGTCCTTGGTTTGGACATCGCTCTTATTCTTGCCAGGCAAATACTAGGAAATGCTGTGATATGCAGCCTGTGTCCTGCAGTGTGTGTGTGTGGGGGGGGGGGGGGGGGGGGGGAGGGGGCTGTAGTGTGATGCCAATGTTTGCACCTTCAACAGCAGCCCAGTAAAACCCAGGAGAAGACTGTACTGGTGCCAAGTCCGTAATTTTTTTGGCATTTGCTGTTTTCCAACACCCCAAAAAAGGGGTTTCAGTCCATAGTGGACATACATTTGATTCAAACTCAACACTTTTTTTTACAGTTAAATCCAATTTAAGACATACTACCAGCAACTGTTTGCATAAGAGGGACACAATCACGCTTCATATAAATGGGCTGTTTTTTTAGGGGTGTTTTTGAGTTATAATTCATCCAGCTTTTAACATTACAGCATGACCGGCTCTATATTTAAGCAAATATGAAAGTTAACATGCACAACATACATGTGACTGCTGCATTGCTGCCTATTACATTATATGCATTTTACATTATGCAAGTGTAAATACTATATTTACATTATCGTAACTTTTGTTCTGCTGTGATCAGACTAAAGTTTTAGAATCACAATCAGGTATATTGCAAGTGTTATTTTAATTTTTTTTTTTTAATTTTTAATTATTCTAAAAACGTTTATAGAATCCGAAAATATGTGCAAGAAATATTAATTTTACGCAAAATAAAAAACAATAATTATGTTAAACCACTCGTGACATCTCTTTCCTGTCTCTTCTCCCCTCAAACCCCCCTTCCTCTCCTCCTCTTCCTCTTCCCCCAGCTGTACGTGCAGGCCAGACTGGTGGCTAAGTGGGCCCGCCTCCTCCGGCCCACCATCCAGTTCTTCCTGGTGGCCTTCGCGGTGTACGTTGGTTACACCCGCGTCTCAGATTACAAGCACCACTGGAGCGACGTGCTGGTGGGGCTGCTGCAGGGAGCGCTCGTCGCTGTGCTTAATGTGAGTCGCCACGGCAACGCCTCTCAAGGCCAAACATCGCGAAGTTTAATAACTCCTGTGTTATATTTCCATCATGTCATACAGTCGTAACTCCTGTAATGGTCTAGTGTTGAGGTTTGGATATACAAAGAGGAGGAAATTGAATATTGACAATAATGTCAGCCCATCAGCTCAGAGCTACACATTTTTAAAGGGGTCCTAATATACTTATTTTCAGGTTTCATATTTTAATTTTTTGCCTTTACTGTGTGTGAGAGAAACTCCCTCTGGAGGGAACTTTGGGATTTTAGCTTTTGCAGACCATTTACATGCACAAACCTATAAACACTACAGGAAAGGGAAATCCCTAAAAGCATAATAGGGCCTCTTTAACAGTAGAAATAATGCTCATATATTTGTACATTTAATTTTCTATAAAGTAGCTCCAGCCTCAGACCTGATGACCTCTTAACTTTGAGTCTTTCTATTGTGGTTTCTTGCTCTTAGCTAAGTAAACATGGGTGGGTGCAGATCATAAAAATGACATTTCATGGAAATCTCTCCGTTAGTGATACTCCCTTTTTAAAGTAGAGCAACCGCTGAAGAGTCTATAGTTCAGTTTTTTTTTTCAATCAGGCAGTAAAAGTCCATGTAGACAGAAAAAGCATGAGGGGAGTGAGGTGTGACAGCAGAAGAGTGTGTATTGACACACACACTCACACTCACACTCACACTGGCAGGTTCTCATGCAATACTGTGCTCTCTTCATCCAGCTGGACTCCTTATTGTTTGGCCTCTTCCCTGTTTAGCGTGAGCCACTGTCAGCACGGTGAAACTCCTGCAGTGGTCGAGTGTGTTTTGGAGTGTGTGGCTGTGCATGTGTGTGTGAATAATTGGGAAGTGAGCCCGCTCTTTTGGCCTTCACAGTGTTGTGCGCAATTACAGCCCCTCCTGGGCATAGGCTTTTATGGCCTTCAGTGCATGTGCCTGCTCTCTGTGTGTTCCTCTCAGATGTGTGCATGTGTGTGAGAGTGTGTGTGTGTGTCACTAAACAGCTGTGCTCAGACCTGTCCAGACGTTTGCAATCACAGTTTCCAGCCAAGCCATCACATGCTCCAATCTTTTATGGGAAAGGTATTTCCCATAAGATTAGATTCAGTTTTGGGGGAAATTGTACATGAGTTAAAAAATAGATAAGCTATTTCTATGGAATGTACAATACAAAGATACACAATAAGATATTATACACTATAATAGACCAACCTACTACCAACAAAATATAAACATAGGATACATTATGAGAGTGTGCAAAGTAATTGCAGTTTTTAAAGCAGCCCTATTATGCACATTTTCAGTTTCAGGCATATTTAGTGTCTCTACTGGGACATGTCTCCATGCTTTAATGTTCAAAAAGCTCTTTATTTTTCTCATACTGCCTGTGCTGCAGCACCTCTTTTCACCCTCTGTCTGAAACCAGAGCCCAGTCTGCTCTGATTGGTTAGCTGCTCTGTTTTAATTGGGCAGCCACATAGAGATGTCCCACCCCTTAGCTTATCACATACAATGTGTTGGAGCGCTAGCCTATAGAAGTGCGAGTACATAATGATGTCATTATATTACGGAAAACAAAGGAGTCCAATGGAGGCGTTTCAGGAAGGAGGGGGGGGGTGAGTGTGGGGGAGAGAAACTCCCTCGGGAGGGAACAGGGATGTTAGCCTTTGCAGACCGTTCACATGCAGAGAAACCTACACACACTACAGGAAAGGGAAAACCCCAAAAAGCATAATAGGGCCTCTTTAAATTGAGTTTAAATTCAACAAAAACCTTCCTGTATAGATCGTTGTGACCACATCTAACATCCTCTCCTCTCCTCTGCAGGTGTGCTACGTGTCGGACTTCTTTAAGAAGCGTCCTCCGCGTTGCACGAGGCAAGACACGGCCGATAACGAGGAGCCGGAGAGGAAACCCAGCCTGCAGATAGTAGACTCGGAGAACAGCAACCATTACAATCATCGACACACTACTGAGTGTGGTCCCGTGTGAGGGGGCGGTCGATGAGGAGCGGGGGCTGCTGCCTGCAGACTCAAACCTGTGAGATAGGGTCCAGAACTGGGGCTTCTACCTTTTTAAATGTCCAGCCTGCATGCAGGGTTTAGGTTAGTCCTGACTCTGTGGGTTGCCTGCTGCTGATGTGAGAAGCCCCAGGCTGTCTTTATGAATGCTGCAACCCTCCATTTGCATGTCTGTTCGAAGGAGAAAGCTAAGGTTCAGGTCTGTAGCGTGCAGCCTCCAAAACCCTCTTCACTCCCCCTGTGTCAACCACTCACAACCCCCCCCCCCCCCCCTCCAACCACTGGACTGACTGAGGGTGCCCGAGCCCCGTCTCAAAGACTCCATGATGACCTGCTTCTCTCTTGTAAGAGAAAAAGGAGCATATTGTTTTTTTTAACACATCATTGTTGATGTTGTATGTGCTTAAAGCTGCATTAAGTGAATGACTCCACACCCACAGCAACGAAGCTATGATACACCAATGCCTTAATAAGTGCTTTTGGCCACGTTTTTCTTATCAAGTTACATGCAGAGGATCCTTGGGCTCGCAATAGAGAGAATTATTTTCTGCCAATTGACAAATCTAAGTTGGATTTTATTCACCTTTATGCCACCATATTCTCATATGCTCCACTTTCTTTAGTTTCGTCACTTGTTTTTTAGACTCACTGTTTCCTAATGAGCTACAGTCTGTTTCTCAGGCCATGTTTGGAGGAAACAGCTGCACACAGTTTTATATAATGGGTCAGTGAGAGTTGAGTTTCCCCTCTTTGTGGATAAATGAATGAAAACAGCCTGAAAACTGCAGAAATGGGAATATCTTTTAGTTGTATTTCACACATTTTACTTACTAGGAGTTCTTTGGTTTTATGGATATATCAAATACACCGCTTAAAGGTGGGGTAGGTAAGTTTGAGAAACCGGCTCGAGATACACTTTTTGTTGTATTCCATGGAATGCTCTTAACATCCCGATAGCAATGAATATCTTAAGTGCTTTGACAAAAAATCCATAAAAAAATGTCATCTGTGGAAGCCGTAGTACTGTAAAAAGTACGACCAATCATCTGAGCCAGCCCGGCTAAAATAACTGGATGGCCTACCTGCCTGTCAGCCTTCCATCGGGGCACACACTTATCTCGTGCCCTCATTGGTCATGTGCGCGTTCGTGTGTGTTGGAGGAGGGGCTCTGTAAGGTAGTGGCAGATTTTTTCCGGCTGTGTATTTTCAAATTCTAGCGCACTCGAGCTGGTTTCTCCAAACTTACCTACCCCACCTTTAATGTAGTTTTATCGATTTTTTTAATCTTTTTAACTTCTATTTGTAGAGAACCAAATGAGTTAGCTGTGATGAAATGAAATTTAAGAACGAGAGGAAGAGAGACAAGAATGTTTAGAGATGTTGGTGAAGGCACATTTTGTTGAATCGCTTCATTTTAGTGCACCTTAAACTGGCTGTGTTGCAAATCATAAGACATTTATTGAGGGTGGCAACTAGTTCACAGTAGATGAGCTCATTTTCTCCATATTTAATGTCACCCTGTTGGCAAGAAAAGGCTCACAAACTAAATATGTTGTAGCTGCGAACCACCCAGAAGCTGCTTTGAAAGAGGATGTATATCAAACATCATGGTGTAGAGGTAATCCGATGATCTGAAGTCAGCTGACAATACATTTCTGCCAGCTTTCTAACTGCCGCACAAACAGGTCTGGGTAACTATGAGAAACAATATACTGTTTTAAAAGTGGCAACACAGGCTTTTCATGCCTGATGACTCACAGCACATTGATAACGTCTGATTCATGTTGGATCAGAGCCCAAGTGTGCACAGATAAGTCTGAATCTGAATGAAGGTCAGGACATTTACTAAGATTTAAAGGCAGATCTTATGTCCAAACTTGGTCGGATGTACCTTCAACGGTGGTGACGTACAGTACAGATGCCTTGAGATCAAATTTAAGATTGAAAAAAGTTTTGGTGATGCATTTTCTACGTCTGACTTAAATGTTTTCCACTCCTGTGTTTATTACTTAACAAATGGTGAGAAACAAAGGGTTTTATTATCAGAATTTCAGTTTTTACCACCAACGCAAAACTATTTTCCCCCTGTTACATGGGGGGGGGAAACAAATGTTTTGGGGTGGGATTAAGGAAAGATTATCCTGGCAAATCCTTTTTTAAACCTGTTTTAAGTCATTAGCACAAGATAGAAAACTAATTAGACTTAGCAAATGGATCACCCTTCTTTTCTCATTTTCCCTTAAGGGCTACCGTAGTGAGGCTCTCGCTAAATTACAACTTTAATTGTGGAGTTTGTGGACGATGTTTGTTTGTGTAAAATGGACTGCAGACGTAGAAACCATTGCTTTAATTTCTGATACCACTACTATACTGCCAATCAATTAAATTAGCAATTTGGCCTCTATCTTGTTCTGTTTTATTTCTCAAATACGTATAATCAAAGAAGGATGAGACAACCGTTATGAAAATGGTGTTTAATTTATTTTAAAGCTTTATTTACTCTTACAAGGTTGGAAATGCCAGCGCTGTTAAAGTTTTTGTGCAATCACCCCCCCCGCTTGCCACTATGAGCCACAAATACTGTACTAATGCTATGAGACATGTTTCATGTTGCGTGAAGGATGTATATATATGTGCTTGTATGTTTTTATTTCGCATGTAGGTGCGATTTTAATTTCCCCTGTACAGTGTGCGTTCACCCGTTCTTTTTTTTTTAAGACTGTAGAAGTTGCCACACAAATGGATCCAATTCCAGGTCCAAACATAAGCCAGATGCCTTGGCGGCGCTGCTGTAATGATAAAGGGGTTACATATCCAACTGTGTTTTTGAAGCCGCTCCATTCCCACTTCAAAGGTCCGTCTCTGCTCCTTTCCCCCTTCCTGTGTTGATGGATGGGGTTAATTTGTGAGTAAGGTACAGTTGTTGTGCACCATGCAGAGCCCTGAAGCACTGACACCAGATCAGACAGACCACAGACCTGATGGGGGCAGAAAGACGGGAGAATCTCACCTGGAAGTGATTGTGAGGTCCTGACTCTGAGCTGGGATTGGAGAGGGTGGGGTTCTTTAGAGGGTGGAGGGTATCCCGTGGTGAACTTTAGTCCCTGGGGTCTTCTACACATTAAAAACCCAGATTTAGAAACAGCTGGATCTGGTTGTGGTGAAGTGCTGTGTGAGCCCCCTCCCCTACATCTAAATCATCTGTATATTACTGCAGCCAGACTAATAACACAAATAAGGATGAGAATGTAGAGACTTCACGGAGTTTGATGCACCTCCACCACGTTTCCATCTCACATCTGTGTGTTATACGCTTTATTGAATTAGTGCCTGGCACTGGTTGGTCAATCTCCTGTTTATGTGTCCACAGGTATGATTCACGTTGTTTGCTTTTTGTATATAGATTGTATCTACAGGCTCTAAAGCAGATCATTTTAAATAAAGATATAATCCACGTTCAGTCATTTTGTCTTAATTTATACATGTCACTCATGATGGATTTCATTTCATCAAGCATTCATATCTACAGTGCTCAATAGATGGTGATGATAAACACATGTCCTGCAGTAACATCATTTCCCCCTTTTTTAAGAAATAAAAGGTCATAAACAACATTGTTGCATCATTGAGATTTCAAGATGTTCTTGGTGAGTTCACTGTAACCCTGATTGCTAGCAATATTTCATTTTTAATGATGCACAATCAAAATGATTCAACCCACAAGCCAGAAAACACTTGAAATCAGTGCTGCAGCAAGGGCGGATGACACTATCAGTTTGATTTAGTGTTCGTTATCTGAAGGTAGTTTATCGCATAGTGAAACCAGCAGAATGATATGTTGGAATGTGTTCTCGAAACCCAATAACAGATTAAAAAAAATATGGAAAAAATATGTTTACTTGGTTTTATCCGCACAAGTTTTGAAATATCCACCTTTTTAAAAAAACGTTATCCAAACTACTACAATGAAGGTAAACACAATGTTGTATTGGTTTTATATTTTGGTTTTTCAGAAACCTTGTCTTGTCAACCTTCCTGTGGTGGATCCACAGATCACATTTTTGTTATTTAAGCTGACTGACCCTAACGGACCGTCCACACAGCAGCGTTAAAAAAATCTTGGAGGTGGGCGTATCTGAAGCTTGGGGATTTTTTGCGAGCAAGGCACCAACAACCAATCACATGAATCTCCCGCCCCCGACATACGAAGCCAAAAAGCCCGAAGTAAACTGATATAAACTCCCCAAACAGGCGAAAACCTACCACTGTCTCTGCCACCTCCCTCCATGCCTGGCTCCTCCGGTTTATATCCCGGTAGGTAAATAGGGACTGGTCATAAAGCACCGGGTGATTCCCTACCGCTAATTTCTCCTCCATGTTTTGGAATATGAGGAAATGACCTGCGGTATGTCTCTCCCAGCTTACACGCCGTTTGATTGGCTAGAGCTTGAACTGTCAGATTTGCGTACACGGGATTTGATTGGCTGACGCTTCCACCTCAGCCTCAAAAGTTGAACATTGTTCAACTTTGAATCCTGAAAATCCTGAAAATCTCCGCTTGCCTGCCCACAATGCAGTTCGGCGAAAAGTGAGGGAAAGTGACGTCACCCCATTCAAAGTGAATGGGCAGAAGCGTTTCAAGATTTTTTTAACGCTGCTGTGTGGACGGGCCGTAACATTGTAAAATTGGGGATTTATTTTCTTTGCTTAAGCGGTCATTCCCGCAGGCCATATTTTACAAACCAGAATAATCTTTATTGATTTCAAAAGAGGATGGTGAGCAACCTGACAATAGGGTGTTAGGGCAAAATGCGGCAATTTATTTGTAAACCTTTAACTCTGAGGATTGTATGTTTTTCTCTTCTGAATGAGAGATTATATTGTATGTAAATCAATATCCATCACAGAACATTGGATAATAAAAATGTCAGTGTTCCAATGTAGTGAATGTTTCAGTACTCGTGCAGTGCTTAAAGATTTACAGTTTCACCTCTGGAGACTTGGTTAAGTGATTCATGACTTTCTTGTGCATTAGACATTTTTGTATAAAGAATAATTCAAACCAAGAGCTGAGAATCAGGAGGGGTTAATTAAGGGCAGGAGAATTGTTGAGGCAGGAGAATGAAGCCTACTGTACCATAAAAATAAACATATTTATAACGATATAAACATTGGACTCATGGGGACGTTTGTGGGAGTTTCATGGCAGCGGTATGGAAACCACTGTCATCCCTCATTTAAAACAATATTACTCACTCGCACGTTGTGAAAGTTGTCGCACACGAGGGGCTATTTTTTACCGTGATGTCAAAACAACCGGCAACATTAAGGTGTTTTATTCACGTGACTATTCACCCTTTTAGCTGTTTCCTCCTCGGGGTGATTTACAGTATGTGAGTACATAGCTATTCTCATTCATTTCTCCAGAGATGCATAATATGGCTGAATATATTATACTTAATGTCTAACAGTTAATTTACCTTGTTTGCAGTATGAAAGATGATCTCTTTGGTAACCAGGCTGCTAAACAGCATATCCGCCCCTGGTTGTACACACTATCTCTCTATCTATAACCCTTACAGATATCACATCCTCTATCTTCCTGAGGGTTAATGAGGCAGATGAAATAGATACTCTACCTGCAGTGGGTGGATAGATAGATTCCTATATTTTTGGTAAATCATCAGCATAACCCTGAGATTTTGAATAACACCTTTATTTCACCACCTTCTTATCAAAATATGATCTCTTTGGCTTGATACATTCTCCACTTTCTTTTGTATGTCACTTGTTTATTAGCCTCACTGTGAGCGGGACATGTTAGCAGGACACCGCTGCTCAAAGTTTTACACTTTAAGCTTTTTGGGGTTTTCCCTTTCCTAGTGTGTTCTATAGGTTTTTATCACCTTCAACACATTGAAGGTGATAGGCTAATGGGCGGTAAATCTCGAAGAAGTTGACCAATCACAACAGAGATGGCCAGCTGACCAATCAGAGTAGACTGGGCTCTGGTTTCAGACAGAGGGTGAAAAGAGGTGCTGCAGCAAAATGTGCATACAGTAATAAGTCAAATGTCATATACATTGCTTAAAGTAGCTTCGAACAATTGTTTAGTTTTTTTAACTTGTACTTATACAGAACCAAATCTTGTAAGTACAAGATGAAAACAAATTTGCATTTTCAGAAATGTTGGTAACGGCACAATTTGTTGAATATTTATATATTAAACTAGCTGTGTTACAAATCATAACAAATACTTGGAGAGGCAACCTGTTCACAGTAGATGAGCTCATTATCTCCATATATCATGTCATCCTGTTGGTTATACTGAATATCTATCATATTCTATCATGAAATATCTTTCAGCACACTTTACAATCTTTCAAGAAAGTTTAGATATGTTTTAGGCCCACATAAACACAGGTTTATATCAAAATAATGTGGTATTTCTGCTTGGCATTGCAGGAAGTAGATAATTCCTTAGAAACCCTTACAAATCATCAATGGTTCGGTCCGCAGGGATGAGATTCTGTGAATGACCCGGAGCCTGCTGGGAAGTGGCTCTGGAGATGAGCGGTTTGTGAGAAACCTCAGGACTGGAAGCAGCAAAGCCTGACAGAAGCAGTCGACTGCCAGTATTCGGATGCTGCGGTGGACGGCGCTGGATGTTATATTCTGACCGTTCAGCCCACTTTGGTCTGTGTCCCTGTGGGCGGCCATTATGGTTTCAAACTGGACAAGAAACAGGAGAATGTGGGACAAGGGTTCAGCCAAAACAACATGGGATGCTTTGAAAGCTGATTTGTAAAATAATGAATATTTGTATTCTCTGGCATGTTCCAACTTAGTTTACCAATTCCCTTATAGACAACTCCTTGACTTCCTCTTTGCTTTGTTTAAGAGTGCAAAACAGATCAGAAATAGCTTAATAATTCATTGACATTGAATGGATGTTGGAGTAAAGGATTAAATGGATGGAAATTAGTGAGCATAACAGTCAAATTAATCAGGAGATTCATGCTAAGGGCAGTTTCTCCTTGAAGTCCCTGTAGAAACTGACAGAGAGGAAGAGAGTGAATATAAGACGTGTAGGGAGTCAGGGTGTAAAACTTAAACAGACACGAAGGAGAGCTGGACTGGTTTACACGATTAAAAGTGGATAAACGGGAAGCACAGGCATGGTCTTGTTCCTCAGCCTGTGTTGAATTTAACTTTATTATTTTGTGGCTTTCATCGAGCTGGAACTGTTTACATCCAGTTTTCAGCGCTTAAAGGGTGAAGCTGTTCAAGAGAAAGTCACTAAGTGCTTCACAGTCCCACACCCACAGTGACAGAGATAGTTAAACTGCAGCTTCAGGAACTACAGACCCTTTACCATACTTATATTGATTAAAGAGGCAAATTAGGCGTTAACTAGTACACTAGTTATAATGAGAAAGGGGCTATGTAACACTTACGCTTATATTGTCTAGCGATCCAACACATTATTAGTGATAGGCTAAGGGGCGGGATATCTCCAAGCTGTTGACCAATCACAACAGAGCCGGCCAGCTAACCAATCAGAGCAGACTGGGCTCTGGTTTCAGACAGAGGGTGAAAAGAGGTGCTGCAGCACAGGCAGTATGAGAAAAATAAAGAGCTTTTGGAACATTAAAGCATGGAGACATGTCACAGTAGAGACACTACATACAAATATGAAACTAGAAATGACATAATGTGTCCTCTTTAAAAACAGTAAAAAGTTGAAGGATAGTGTTCTTGGAATCGCAGATAAGTATGTTGAATTGTAAAACATTTGTAGATTGGACTCACATTATTCCAGTAACTTTTATGACAGTAAACGTTGAAAGAAAGTGCACCCTGTTTAAGTGCCTTATATTTCAGATCATTTGGGTAATTAACATGATTATGCAGCATTGATTCAGAGGCGTTACAGAGTTCAGCTTCTGTTACTTTCTCATGCTGCAGGCCAGCAGGGACGTTTTTAGCTTGGCTCTGTATTCTAGCAATTAAAATGCCTCCAGAAATGAGCAGCAAGTCCCTGTTGTTTTCTCTTCCTATTATAAACAGTAGCTACTTCTGCTTAGCCAAAACTATTGCTTCTGCAAAGAGGCGCACTAATTAACCCCTTCTCTATTCCACACACACACACACACACACACACACACACACACACACACACACACACACACACACACACACACACACACACACACACACACACACACACACACACACACACACACCAGCATTATTAGTGCAGGTTCGTCAGCCAGTGTCAAGGCCTTGTGTAATTTGAACAGTATGAATATTATTTTATAATTAAACACAAGACTCTTATCTGATGAACTGTCTGCTCTTAGTATTGTGTGCTGAGGGAATAATTTCATGATCAGAGTTTTAGCATTTCGGCCATGAAAACCTACTGAGATTCAGTGTGATAGACGCACACATTGCATT